ACACAGAAAAAAAAAAAAAGTGCCACGGGGAGGATAAGAGTAACTGATTTCGGTTTTCTCGTTTTGTTCTCGACTCCTTGAGATCACATTTTCTGCATGCACAACCTGCCTAGAAAGTCCTTGGCCGTAATCACGCCCAGGTGCAGTCAAACAAGCTCGAGTGAGTGTCGCGGCCAACACCCCCCCCCCAACACACACACACTGAGTGAACGATACACAATTACAAAGGCTCATCTCTCAACAGGGATCTGTTGATTGAATCTGAGCGTGATTGGCGCCAAATTCTTTGCAGCCAGCTGTAGACTAAGTGAAAAATCCCATGCCCTAAGGGCCTAAGGAGATAACCTCCTCCCTTTCCCAATTTCCTCCAATGTCCTTGCCCCCTTCCGAGAATTCCTTGGGGGAGGTGAGCTGGCATCGGGATCTGGATACCTACCTTGCAAGCATCATGACGAATCAGTGCGTCTGTCCACGCCGCGTCGTTTTCTTCGTCGTCGGGATCCCCGTCGCTTCGCTCTCACTGGAAATCATCAACAGGGCAATTGCGCAACGGGCACAGCTCAGTCGGGACACCCACCCATTAACTCTTGAAATATGAATCAGACCCAGGTTCGAATCCAGATGCAATCAGGTGGACAGAATAAAATAATACCGAATTACCTGACCCGATCAGCTCAATGATGATACACTTTAATGACGTCACCTGTTTTAACGACAACGTCCTAAAGCCAAACACAGAAAGACAACCGCAAAACAGCCATTGAATAGCGGGAAATAATCCCTAACCCGCCGACAGAGAATAGTGCCGCCCTAGCAAAGCTTAAGGTAGCACAAAATAAAATAAAATAAAAATAAAATAAAAAAGGCAGCACAAAGAAAGACATAGGAATGTCGAGCGATTCAAGATCGACATTACGAAAGACGAGGCACTATTCTCTGTTAGCGATTCAAGAACTCGAAAGCCGAGAGACGAAAGACGAAAGACGAGGCAATGGCCAAGTAAGCTACATGCAGCCGCGTCCATACCCACAAACACACCCACCAACTGCAACACACACACACACACACACACACACACACACACACACACACACACACACACACACAGAGAGAGAGAGAGAGAGAGAGAGAGAGAGAGAGAG